CCTCGATGACCGCGTAGCACGACGCCAGCACCCGGTTGATGAGGATGGTGCCCTGCGCCGTGAGCGGCGCGTACGCGCCCGTGGCCTCCTCGCGCAGCGTCACGCTGTGCACGGCGGCCGGAAGCAGCCGGCGATCCCCGCCGCGCTCGGCCACCACGTACACGCGCTGGCCCGGGCGCACGCGGCTGGCAAAGAGCGCCCGTCGCCCCGGCGCGCCCCCCGGCGGCGGCCCCGCGCCCGACGGCGCCTCCAGCTCCCCGGCCGCCGAGTCGTTGTGCGGCGCCACGAAGAGCAGGTGCGCGGCGGTGAGCAGCAGGCGCTCGCGCGGCTCCCGCGTCTCGATCACGTAGAAGACCTTCTTGGCGCCGTCGTCGCGGTCCAGGAAGGTGAGGAAGTCGCTGTAGAGCAGTCGGCCCTGGTCGTCGGCCGCCAGCACGCGGTCCCCGGGACGCAGGTCTTTCACCAGCTTGGTGCCGCCCTGCTCCAGGTGCACCGTGGCCGAGCCCGGGAAGCAGCCGCCGGATTTGGCCGCCACCGAATTCTCTGCGGGGGGAGGAGAAGGGAGACAAGAGGGGACAGGGTGGTGAGCGCCTGCAGGGAGGTCCGAGCGGCGGGGGGGGGGGGGGGGGGGGGGGGGGCCGCCCCCCGGCCCCCCCCCCCCCCCCCGGCCCGCGCCCCCCCCCGGGGCGGGCCCGCCTGCGGTCCCGCGCCCCAGACTCGGGACGCGCGCAGCTCCGGGGAGAGAGTCCAGGCGGGTCCGGCGCGGACCCCTCTCCCTCGGCCCCGCCGTCTCGGTGACAAAGTTCAGCTGCAGATACATTCCTCAACGGCTCTCTTAAGATTGGACTGGAGGTGACAAAGGTCGGCTGGCGTCTCCGGCGGGAGGCCGGTTACACTCCTTCCCTTCCGCCTTCCTCCCACCCCATCCCCCGGCTCAGCACACACCCGGCCTCGCCCTGAATTCGCGGGGTATTTGCTCTCCACTCAGATTCCTCAGGAAGCCTCCTCGAGCTCCCTCGGGCGCCGGGGTGCACCTCCTCCTCCTCCCGCCCCCGGCGCGGGGTGCGGCGCCCCCTCGTGCGCTCCGCACCCGCGCTGCGCCGCGGGGACCCCCTCGCCTGCCCGCCCCCCAGCGCCCAGCCGGGGGCCTCGGTGCCGGCCGGTTGCGGGGGGGGGGGGTGTGGGTGTTGCAGGGGGGTGGCCAGGGAGTGCAAAATAGCTGTAGTAGTTGTAGCAACTGGACAAACATTCCAGGGAATTGGCCGAGGTGTGAAAATCCGGGGCTTGTGTGGATTTTCTAATTAAAATCCAATAAAGGGCCCGGCATTGTCATTGTGGTCTCTGCCATAACTGGGAGACACTGGCAAGAGGGGCCACTTCCATTTCCCTCATCCCCTCTCTCGGCCGCCCCCTCCCTATTTGCTCAGGTGCACCCCCACCCCCCGCCCCCCTGCGATTCACACGCGGGCTCTCCAGAAGCCGGGCCTCACAAGCACTATTTGCACAGCCAGGCCTCCCTCTTCCAAGCGCTCAAGATGTGTATTTGAATTTTAAATGGCGGGGCCTGCTCGAGCGCTGGAAGCGGCCGGTTCTCAAGGCCCCTTGACTACCCGCTTTCCCGAGCCCTCCGTCGCTCTCTGAGGCTCACTGTCCCGAGGACAATGCGCGGAGCCCGGGCGGCGCGCAGGGGGCCGCGGGGGAGGGGCGGGGAGGGCCTGGTGTCTTTTGCATTCCAATCTCCGGGATCATGCGTTTTGCAAATAGAGATCGCGAGAAAGAATCTTCCTGCTGGAATTACACAGGGTTTTTAATCTTCTCATCGGTTTCTGCGGCATGAAGTGCGGGCCTGGCCGTTGGAGGCCCGCCGTCGCCCCCCGGAATGCGACCCGGGGCGCAGGCGAGCCCGAGTCGTCGAGTCGCACGACCCTGCTTGACACGCAGCGCCCCGCGCCCCGGCCCGTGTGCGCCGAATGCCAATGAGCGGCTCTCCGCGCCCCGGGGGTCTGCCCTCCCCGGGCGGGATCCTGGGGCGGGATTACCACCGCTCACTTGCGAGGAGACCTCTAGGGACCCCCGCCAGGGGGACCCCGCGGACAGGCTTGGCCCGCCGCGAGCGCCGCCGCGACCTTCCCGGGGGAGTCCCGCGGAGTGGGGGCGCCGCCTGCTCGTCCTCCCTCTCTGGCCGTTCGCCCCGCACCGCCCCCCTCCCCGCCCCCTCCACACCTTTTCCTTCTGTTGTGATAAGAAGCCACTATTTCCCTTAGCTACCAAGTGCGTCTTGACACTTCCAGAGCGTTTTTCTGCTAACACATGCTGTTAAAATACGGTGTAGGAGACAAACGGGCAAAACTGGGCGGGGCGGGGGGGGGGACGGCGCGGGGAAGACACAGGTCCTCCGAAATTCACGGCGAACTGCTCTGCTAAATGCACCACCTTAGGCTGAGATGCAGACATCTGCATAAATAGCCTCCGGGTTGGGCTGTTTGCCGCGGGAACAGTGCCTTGCTGGCGTGGCTGTTCCTCGCCAGCGACAGAGTGTGGCGTTGTAGGCCCAGGAAAGTCCCCCTCACAGCCAGGGCCGGCTACAGCTGCAGGCTCCCATCGGTGTTCCTGGCCCTGCCTGTGGCTCAGGGACACCCAGCTGGCTCCTAATAAGGGGGGGGGGGGATGCTTCTGGGCTTGCGGCCTCCAGATGTTGGAAGTGGTAACCACTGGATTTATTACCTCCCACCAGGCCTCTCCCCAAAGGCTTAGCCAGTGAGTTGCCTTAGTTTAGGATCCAAGCTGCTCAGCAGGGAGGGGAGAGGCCCGAGGCTCCCACCCCGGGCGCCCCTCCTGTGCTGGGGAGCTGGATGGGGGCCGCCTGATTCCTGAGCCCTGAAGGAGAGGAAGAATGTAGGCCAGAGCTGGCTCACCTTGCAGGGCTCAGTCTCTCACCGGGAGAGTCCCCTCCCCCACCCTCCCTGTCTCGCCACCTGCAGAGGGGGCTCCGGAAGCAGGGTGGGGGGAGGCTCCGGAAGCCCTGTGCCCTCTGCGTCTGGGCTTGGAGACCCCCCGGGCCTCGGTGGCCTCAAAGCAGGGGCGATTCCTGGCTGGCGGGATGTACCTCTACAGGGTCCCTTCCCACAATAGCAACCCGAGCCGTTGCCACGCTGCCTCCTCCCCCCCCCCCCCCCCGCGTCTCCCTCCCTCGAGTCAGGCTGCAGGGCGCAGCGGGGACATCTCGTGGGCAGATCTGGAGCTGCTGGGTGGGTGGGAGGGGGGCGGGGGCTCTGGAGCAGGCCCCGCCGGCAGCCTCACCTGCTTTCACGGAGCAGTGGATGTGCGCCTTGGACTCATAGTAAACCCAGTCGAAGCCGGCCTCGACGGCCAGGCGCGCCAGCATGCCGTACTTGCTGCGGTCTCGGTCTGACGTGGTGATGTCCACCGCGCGGCCCTCATAGTGCAGCGACTCCTCCGAGTGGTGGCCGTCTTCGTCCCAGCCCTCGGTCACCCGCAGTTTCACTCCGGGCCACTGGTTCATCACCGAGATGGCCAACGCGTTCAGTTTGTCCTTACAGCGCTGCCGAGAGAAGGGGGACCCCGTAGACGTGAGTGTCTGGGCCCACCACCCGTCCCGGCCCCCCGCAGGGCCTGCCCGCCCCGGGGCCTGCGGATCAGGGCCCTGTGGAGATGCGGGGGTGGGGGGGGGTGGGGGGGGGGTGGGGGCGGGGCTGCCGTGGCAAGGGGGTGGGCGGGCGGGGGGCTCTGCCTGAGGGGCTGGTCCTCTTTGCAGATGAACCGAGAGCCTCGCCCCGACAATCTGACATAGCGCAGCGCCCATGGGCCTGAGAAGGTGAAGTCTTTTTGAACCAAGTGAACTGCGTGTTTCGCACAAGGACCGGCAGGACCGGCCAGGCCCCCAAGGCAGTGGCCCACTCCCCCCACCCCCCAGGCGCCCTCTGCTCCCCAGCTCCCCTCCGGCGGCCCCGTTTCTCCACACCTGCGCCAGGCTCCACCCTTCTCCCTGGCCGGACTCCCCCTCCCCAGGGGGCTGGAGAGAGGCCCAGGGCGCACCTTGTAGAAACGGAACCTCTGCGGTGTGCTTCTTAAGAATGGAGAGCCCCGGGTTATCTCGGGGCCCTCCCTCCTACCCTGTGCCTATCTGAGACGTGAATCCAGCCAAAGGGAGACAGGGAGGGGGGCGGGGAGCCCACAGCCCGGACGGGCAGGAGGGAGCCGACTGAAGGGCAAGCAGGGGAGCTGTAATTTTCAGTGCGGGCGGGCCGACGACAAACACTCTTTATCAGGACAGCCGCATTCCTTTTCTCCACACAACTCCTTTCTCCGGCTTTTCTGCGGTCTGATGGTGTCTCTTGTTTTCCTTAACCTGTTCCCTTCCCCCCTCTTGTTTTCTTGGCCCCAGAGCAGAATGGCGTCCTGCAAGTTTGAAGAGCAAACTTAAGAGGTGGAGGGAGGAGGTGGGGCCTGAGGGGTGGGGGATGGGGAGGCGGAAAGGCCCGAGGCCTGGGAGCCCTCGGGGCGTTTCCCCCCCCCCCCCCCCGCGAGGAAGCTGCGGGAGCGCAGGGACGCTGAAGAGGCGTGACCTGAGCCGGGGTGAGAGGAGCTGGGGTTTGGGGGAGCCCCCGCGGATCTCTCCGGTCACACTCAGCTAAGGATGCGAGGAACAGCAGAGCTGCGGCCCCGTGTGTGGACTCCCTCCCTGCCCAGACGTTCCTGCTGATGGTGGGGCGAGGGGCTCGAAGGAGGGGAACCGGTGGTGACAGGATCGCCAAGGGGCGTCCCCAAGACACGCGCGGACGCTGGGGACGCAGGGCAATTTCAAGTTGACCTCCCGCAGAGCGAGGCGGCGCCGGCTAGGCTGTGGACCCCGGCGAGCGAGGTGGACAGAAGACGGCTCGGGGGTCCTGTGGGCCGCGTGGGGACGGTTCCCCTACCGAGCCGGGCAGGGACGTGTGCGGACTTCTGTCTTCTGCCCGCGCCTCCGGGGGAGGTGAAGGTTGCGCAACAGGAGAAGTCCTGAGTGTCGGACAGTAATAACACCCAGTAATACGCTTGTGGACTTAAACATGCAACAAATTGGCGGGGGGGGGGGGCGGGG